GTTCTGTACAGAGATGTGTGGGTTTCCTGTCAGGGTTCTGTACAGGGATGTGTGGGTTTCCTGTCAGGTTTCTGTACAGAGATGTGTGGGTTTCCTGTAAGGGTTCTGTACAGAGATGTGTGGGTTTTCTGTCAGGGTTCTGTACAGAGATGTGTGGGGTTCCTGTCAGGGTTCTGTACAGAGATGTGTGGGTTTCCTGTCAGGTTTCTGTACAGTGATGTGTGGGTTTCCTGTCAGGGTTCTGTACAGAGATGTTTGGATTTCTTGTCAGGGTTCTGTACAGAGATGTGTGGATTTCTTGTCAGGGTTCTGTACAGAGATATGTGAGTTTTCTGTCAGGGTTCTGTACAGAGATGTTTGGGTTTTCTGTCAGGGTTCTGTACTCGGAGATTTGTAGGTTTCCTGTTAGGTTCCTGTTCAGAGATGTGAGGGTTTCCTTCCGCTAGGCCTTTCTGCCTTCTGGGGTTTTTGTATATCATTACTTTTGTCACACTTTTATCTGAAATCCAAAATAAATCCTTTCCATTTTAAGTATTTATTATTGGATATAGAAAAGAAAAAACTATTTTCACATTCCATAAAAAACTTCTTTGTGTTTAAAATATGTTCAAAATAATAACGCCTCAGTTTTCTATTTGGTCTTGGGTTATTTTAACAGAAAAACAATTGAAAATAACGTTATCTTAAGTTGATAAATTAAATGATACGTGGAAACGCCATCTTGGACATATTTCTGTCCCATCACGGTAGTTTGAGATTGCCATTACATACAACTTGGAACTTTTTAAATTAGGATTAGGAAATTATGGAACAGAAATCACTCATGTGCGAGCTGAGATTCCCTTGTATATAGAGATTCTATAAGTTCAGGATTCCGACAAGGAGTACATTGTATGTCTCCCCTCAGGAATGGTGGTGTAGGTGTGTCAGTGATAGAGATTATTGTGAGGAATGTGCGAGTTTTCGGGGTCCAAATCTGGTGTGTCCGGGTCTTCCTTGAGGTTAGAATTTGGGATGCGTAGGTTCCTCCCGGGGTTCGAATCTTGGATGTGTTGGTCACTCCTGGGGTTCGAATATAGGATGTGTGGGTTTTCCAAGAGTATCGGATCATTTATATGTTATACATTATACGCAGAATCGGATGATTGTATGCCGGATGAGGCATGTGTGAGGCGATGCTAAGGATCGCATTAGGAATATATGGGCCGATAATTAGGGTCAGATCTCATGTAGAGATCAGCCGTATGAGGTAGGCCGTCATTCTGACACTATACTAGAGATAGGGTGACAGCAGGACGCCGTGTCTGGCGTTAGATTGTACAGGTGAAGTGTCACTTTCCCGATCAGATACAAAACTAAACAGTTACCCCCACTACCGATACGTGTTTCTGGATCGGTCTAAAATTTATCTGCAGTTTACACTTGTTTAAGAGTTCACTTGTTGGTTTACGGGGTGCAGGATACACGTGTTTTTATGTGTACATAGGGCTGACAAACCGCATGTCGAGTACATTTACACGAGTCGACCTTTTTTTTTCGTGACTAAATGTACGTACATAATATGACGCAATGACGATCATGGCGTGTGTATCCATGTGCCATGTATTATGCTGTACGTCCAGGGTACACAGTGCTAATGTACACATTTGCCTTCAGGACATGCTGTATTTTTCTTACACAGCCTATCAGTATACACGTATGCATCACACTAGGGGAGGAATGCAAGCTGATATATAGACACCTTATCTTGCACATCACATACTCATGGTCAACGTGTCCATATGCTTCTTGATGGTCCTTTTTTCCCTAAATTGTTGAAAGTTTGGACATCATCAATTAATTTTCTAAATCTTAATACTGTCAACCACCTTTTTGTAATAAATGACTAGTTCCTTACGAACTCTAATACTGAAACTCACTATACGGTCCTAATTAAATACATAGACTATACCATATTTATGTGTTCCTCTGACATTTCAGTTTGTATGAGTCCATTGCGCGTATGAATACATTTTACGAGGGCTTAGCCCTAGCGAATTGTGTCCTTTCGCATTAGCAACGAATACAATCCGAGATGTCAGAGGAGCACATTTGAGGTGTTCCTTTATAACATGTGCATTTGATTGCTACCCGGAAAATCTAACCAAACAACAAAGGCGGACAGGGTGACGTGGGGGACGGAATAATGAGGCCACGTTTGATATCTGTTACAGTGTGAGAGATCTAACATTTATCCCACCCTTCACAGGTGTGTCTCCCGTTTTAGCCAGGAAATATCAGCTTGTCACCCCCTAGCATGTGTTCGATTGTGACGTCATTAAAATGCGTCATCGGTAATTGTGACGTCATCAAAAGTGAATGACGATAGGCATACCCCACACGAGTTTTTGTTTACAAACATGACAGACTACTGTCGGTGGAGCTGTGACTGGAAAAATAAGATGGGAGAAAAATAAGCATACCCTACCTTGAGGGTGTAACAGAGAAATCTCCAACCCTCGGAGTGATTTTTTGGTTGTCTAACCCTCGGCAGAGCCTCGGGTTAGACAACCAAAAACCATCACCCCTCGGGTTGGAAATTTCTCTGTCACACCCTCAAGGTAGGGGAAGATTCTATCAGTCACTGGTTAACATGTAATCAATGAGTCCATCTCTGCCCAACCGCTGTACATATGCTCCGCACTCAGGTACATAATTTGGATTCGATAAACATGGCATCCCTCGGGTTTTCATGACCCAAATTCTGTAACCTCGGTTGAAACATTTTCATCTAACAGAGTCTGCAGTTTTTCCTGTACATACTATTTTTTTAACGTCCTAGAATTTAGATATACTATACCCTTCTCTGGGTACGAGAGAGAGAGCATCTTAACGTTTAGATAAACTCTGCAATGACCACAGATACAGGGTGACTTTGTCCCAGCCTGTTTTATACAGTTCATACTGGCTCACTTTGTCGCTGCCGAAAAATGAAACACGTATGCTCACTTTTTTTTTATCTAACAGCTAAGGTAGAAACATGTTCACATATACATGTACATGCTTAATCAGTTGCTATTCACACTATAGATAACACATAACGTACTTGACTAACTGTCTGATATGGAATCGGAGCAGGAAGTAAAACAGCACTAAATTCGGGGTATGTACGTACGTTAATTGTCAAGAGTTTGATCACGTTCACAATGTTTTTGACACAAATACAGTCATGACGCTATATTTTACGAACCTGTTTAATTTCTAACCAGCTGTACAGTTCGCATGCCCCTGTGCTAGTGTACATATTTATCTGATACATGTGACGTCAGTGGGATTTTTTTGCGTTAATGGTGAATTTGGGGGCAGGGCCAGCCATGCATTTCACTACTGGTCTTTGGTATAACACGACTCATGATACATAATCAAAATATTTACACAAATACACAAAGCAGAACAATTTCGTATATATTGTTGAAACTACGTGGTGAGATCACCTGCCGCTGTCAACACCTCAATTAGGCTAGCGTTTAGGTCAGCTCTGATAGTTATTATCATGGTCCGAAATGGAAGCGGACCAGCCGGGGGGCTGTCACGACACCCAGTATTGTTTACAGTAGATTATGTAACACGCGGATATGTGTGCTTGCTTAGCAACGAATCTCCTTAAAATAAATCGGAACGCAACAAGACTTTCGAAAAAATGTTGGCCAATTTGGATAAAACGCATTCCACACATATTGGACTGGGTAACTCAACCGTTTTGTTTTCAAACTTTGCATATGAAAGTGCACGTTGATAGCCGATTCTTAATTGAGGTCTTCAAGGATCATTAAGGTAATAATTAATTGAGTGTTTCGAACCGCTCCATCTCTCTACATAGTGGTGTAAAAACAGATATAGAAGTAGTGGCTTGGGCACTCAAATCCACTTACCAAAGAAACAACTGTCTACATTGCATCATATGTCGACTTTCCGAAACAGATGCTGCCTTCCGCCGACTCACTTGTCTGTCTAATATATAAGCCAGAGCCGGCTGAGCAGCGTTCCGGATGGTCTGTCGCCCGTTATTGATGCTGAGCTTATTACAATGATGGCTAACCAGATTTGTGGGGTCTATACAATTCAATCGTTTTGACACCATTGGTCTCGATCTAGTTTACTCAAGCCGTCGTAACATTGTGTATTGGGTTAAGACTATAGCCGCTTCATTGGGTCCATTATACTGATGCTGAAACACATTCGCACCTTATGTGGTGTAATAATAGTACTGTGAAGAGTTGATTACATTCCGATGTGTTTTATGTATTAGAAATATAAACTAATCGGCTATAACTCGTTCTGTCATGCGCTGTACGTAGTTTAAGTTTTTATCAGATAAGGATATATTTACTTATAGGTCACTGAACTACTTAAATTTTCCATGTGAGACTGTGTCAGCCCTTAAGAGACAGCAGATGCGCTACTTATCCAGGTAGGTGCTAGTCGTGGGCATACATATGGTACGGTGGCTGTAATAGGTACGGTTCTGAAATATTGTCGCAACTCATTCGCACTCACGTATACTATCTATGGCGCCTTTTGAAGTAGACATTACCTCGTCCAGGTGGCGCGTGGAACGCTGGGGCCCAGTTGCTTGACCACTGCGCTGTACTCACCGACTCCGATTTTACATTTACCTCCATCTGTAATCACGAATGGGCGATGCAATTTTAATCTATTTCTGTAAAGCATGTGTTGGTAAGTGTTGGTTTTATGTCTGAAAAAGATGACTGGCAGTGTTGATGTAGTGTGAGAGATGAGTGTCCAGGCGCGCTGATCAGTTACTAATCCACGGGCGGTAATTACATGCCAATAGGTCCGAGCGATTAGCAGCCAGATTGATGTAGTAAAGCCTCCGGTAACGATACATTAGCCTCTAGTGGCGATATATATATAGTATTACAAACGAGCGAGGTCGCTACATGTCTTGCATGTCTTTCTATATCAAAAATTCCTTAAGAAGTACTCTTTTCTATTTTCAGACAATCACCTGCATGGATATCAACCTTTCTACTCCTGAACTGAAAACTCTACCCAACACCTGACAGTGAGGCGTAACGCGATCATTCCCTTCAGTAAGTGTGTAACGCGGCCTGACCATGGGTGTGAGCGAAACAAACTTTGCTCTGAACTTGTCGTACGGAGGTAAATACATCCAGGACACGGGTAATAGTACGGATCAGCTGGACGCCTTCTACATGCAATACGTGTGTAACGGCATCGCCCTTCCCATCATCTCCGTGCTGGGCGTCATCGGAAACATTCTCACTATGATGGTACTTTGGCGCAAGGAGATGCAGTCCACTACCATCCTGTTCTTGTGTGCGCTTGTGGTGACAGACACAGGTATCATTATTGTGGCATGTGTGGCGCTCACACCGTACTCCATATCGCTGTTTCATCCCGAGCTGTGGTACTATAAGGATGTTATTTACCCTAACCTTTACACAGCAGTCTTCTTCCTCATCATGAGTATCCAGCAATGCAACGTTTGGATCACGGTTTCTGTGTCGGTAGAACGCTACATCGCCATTTGCCACCCTTTCCGCGCCCAAAAAATCTGCACGCGCAAAAAGACATACATCACCCTCATGGTCATTACAGTCATCTCCGTCGCCTACAACATTCCGCGACTGTTCGCTACCATGGCCCGGACGCCCTGCACGGACCCCGGGCAAGAGGTCCCAGCTGACCACGACTGTTTCCTGCTCCTTACAACGGAGTTTGGCGAAAACTTTTTCTACACAAAAATGTACTCGGTGTGGATGTACGCAAGTATTATCTACATCATACCGCTGAGTGTGTTAACAGTGCTAAACATCCTCATCATCATGGAACTGATGCGGATGCGTGCACGGCGAGCAGGAATGAACATTCAGGACGACCAGGAGGCCAACCTTAGCCTCGTTCTCGTGTTGATTGTTGTTGTGTTCATCTTGTGCCAAACACCAGGTCTGTTTGCCCAGTTCGACTTCCTGTTTAATACTGTTACGATGATCAAGTGGCTGGCTGTGAGTAACATCCTTTTTGTAGCTAATTCATCTGTTAACTTTTTAATCTATACACTTGTTGGTCAAAAATTCCGCAGAGTGTTATTGGGAGTTCTCAAGAACTTGTTCGGGAGGAAGATTCTGTCGGACGTTTCTCGGAATTCATCTAGACAGTCAAATGGCCTAGAGCTAAACCACAGACAATATGCTCCCGTCAACTCGGAAACGCATGTGGAAAATGTGGAGAAAGTCCGACTGAACGAGTGACAGGTAGCAAACGATTCGATTGAAAGAATAAGCAATAAATATGGATCGTGTTATGTTACCATTGTGCTGATTGCCAGTCGTCTTTATGACGAGGATTTTCGATACCATGATGTTCTGGACCAGTTTTTGAGTTGTTGTCGCGTAACATTTAAATGCACATCTCTTGCAGTTCTAAAAAACAAGTGCCCCTCTGAAGCTGGGCATGTCGCATTTGGGTCGGAAATAAATATTTGCCCTTTGGTGGATATTAGTCTCGTGAGGCTTACGTGAATATGGATGTGACGTGGTGTATACAGGGACCAGGCCCTGACCGTTGATTATTGGTCCGGTGACGATGTGACGTGGTGTAAACAGGGACCAGGCCCTGACCGTTGATTATTGGCCCGGTGACGATGCAGTCTCCATTCATGTCCTGTATCGTTAACATTGCCTCCATTTTTATTTCTATATGTCTCGGTGATTGACACCGTACGTCCAACCAGGAACGTCTTGTGATTTTTGCCCATGTCCTTACACTGTCACTACAGTGAAATGCCATGAATCATTCTGGGAAATGTTAAAAATGTTTAAGTCGATCGGTGATTGATGGGCGTGCCGACGTTAGAGGCGTTGTGACGTGTACAGCGACTTTTGGACTACGTAAACTTATGTTAGACAGATTTTGTGATAACGTTGTTGTGTTATATATTTATTATTGAATTATGAGTTTAGAAATATATCAAAAAACGAGATTATATTGTTAGTGACATTTTTATTGAAATATTGCAATGTGATATGACATGTGAGTGGTATTTATTTAGACAGTTGTAAAAAAATATATGGCCTATATTTGTGTAGTTACATTCCGTCGGTGTCGTGGAGGCGCACGATACCAGGTAGCCTGGTGACGGAGTTGTGCGCGTGATCCAATCAGCCGGTGACGAACTGACGCACATACCACCTGACCAGTTCTCTTGGTGTGGAGGAACGCACATGACAGGTTGCTTGGTGATGCGCATGACCATTCATCAAACTCAAACCCAAACCCAGTGATCGGACTATGTCGATAGGTATATGTCAATGTAGAAACCGGGCGCCGTACAAAACTAATCGCCAGATTTAAGTTTAAGTAATATTTGTACTCGCTTTTGTTGATATTTTCTCAATAATTCAAGGAAAATACTGTATATCAAACTGCTGCCAAATATTGCAATATAAGGGTACATCTCAGTAGAATCATTTCAACAAGGCACTCGAACGTTAGGTAATTTCAATTAATTAATTAATTAATTCTAAACGACTAATTGCACAGTAAGCACTTTTTGAGAACCACATCGGCCGAAACAAGCTAATATCTCTGCTCTGTTATCACACGTTACCTGCATACGAAACGAGAGTACATTCATACGCCATACTTGAGACGCTCAAGACGGCAAGTTGGATATTATAGGTTAAGGTTGGAAATCAATGAGGTAGGCTAGTTAGACCATGTGTGAATTAGATTCGGTATGCGTATACATTACTTGTCATACATTTCGGTGTGTGTACAATACCCGTCATACCTTTCGGTGTGTATGTACATTACATGTCATACATTTCGGTATGTGTGTACAATAACTGTCATACCTTTTGGTATGTGTGTACATTACCTGTCATACATTTCGGTGTGTATGTACATTACCTGTTTTACATTTCGGTGTGTATGTACAATACCTTTCATACATTTCGGTATGTATGTACAATACCCGTCATACATTTCGGTATGTATGTACAATACCTGTCATACATTTCGGTATGTATGTACAATACGTTTCATACATTTCGGTTTGTATGTACAATACCTTTCATACATTTCGGTGTGTATGTAAATTACCTGTCGTACTTTTAGGTATGTGTGTACATTTACCTGTCATCCATTTCGGTGTGTATGTACAATACCTTTCATAAATTTCGGTATGTATGTACAATACCACTCATACATTTCGGTATGTATGTACGATACCCGTCATACATTTCGGTATGTGTGTACAATACCCGTCATACATTTCAGTGTGTATGTAAATTACCTGTCGTACTTTTAGGTATGTGTGTACATTTACCTGTCATCCATTTCGGTGTGTATGTACAATACCTTTCATACATTTCGGGGTGTATGTACATTACCTGTCATAATACATTTCGGTATGTATGTACAATACCTGTCATACATTTCGGTGTGTATATACATTACCTGTCATACATTCTGTTTTTATATATACATTACCTTTCATACATTTCGGAGTGTATGTACATTACCTGTCATAATACATTTCGGTATGTATGTACAATACCACTCATACATTTCGGTATGTATGTAAAATACCCGTCATACATTTCGGTGTGTATGTAAATTACCTGTCGTACTTTTCGGTATGTGTGTACATTTACCTGTCATACATTTCGGTGTGTATGTACAATACCTGTCATACATTTCGGTGTGTATGTACAATACCCGTCATACATTTCGGTGTGTCTTTACATTACCGGTCGTATATTTCGATGTGTATGTACAATACCCGTCATACATTTCGGTGTGTATGGACAATACACCAATCATACATTTCGGTGTGTATGTACATAACCTGTCGTATATTTTGGTGTGTATCTTCAATATCTTTCATACACTTCGGTATGTATGTACAATACCACTCATACATTTCGGTATGTATGTAAAATACCCGTCATACATTTCGGTATGTGTGTACAATACCCGTCATACATTTCAGTGTGTATGTAAATTACCTGTCGTACTTTTCGGTATGTGTGTACATTTACCTGTCATACATTTCAGTGTGTATGTACATTACCTGTAATATATTTCGGTGTGTATGTACAATACCCGTCATACATTTCGGTGTGTATGTACAATACCTGTCATACATTTCGGTATGTATGTACAATACCTTTCATACATTTCGGTGTGTATGTACATTCCCTGTCATACATTTCGATATGTAAGTATAATACCTGCCATACATTTCGGTAGGTATGTATAATACCTGTCATACATTTCGGTATGTATGTACAATACCTGTCATACATTTCGGTGTGTATGTACATTACCTGTCATACATTTCGGTGTGTATGTACATTACCTGTCGTATATCTTGGTGTGTATGTACATTAACTGTCATACATTTCGGTATGTATGTACATTACCTGTCATACATTTCGGTGTGTATGTACATTACCTGTTTTACATTTCGGTGTGTATGTACAATACCTTTCATACATTTCGGTATGTATGTACAATACCCGTCATACATTTCGGTGTGTATGTACATTACCTGTCGTATATTTCGGCATGTATGTACAATACCTGTCGTTTATCTTGGTGTGTATGTACATTACCTGTCATACATTTCGGTGTGTATGTACAATACCTTTCATACATTTCGGTGTGTGTACAATACCTGTCATACATTTCGGTGTGTATGTACAATACCTTTCATACATTTCGGTGTGTATGTACAATACCTTTCATACATTTAGGTGTGTGTACAATACCTGTCATGCATTTCGGTATGTATGTACAATACCTGTCATACATTTCGTTATGTATGTACAATACCCGTCATGCATTTCGGTGTGTGTGTACAATACTCGTCATGCATTTCGGTTTGTGTGTAAATTACCTGCCGTACTTTTCGTTATGTGTGTACATTTACCTGTCATACATTTCGGTGTGTATATACATTACCTGTCATACATTCGGTGTGTATATATAATACCCGGCATACATTTTTTGGTATGTCATGATCAATACCCGTCATACATTTCGGCATGTGTGTACATAACCTGTCGTACATTTCGATATTTATATAGATTATTTATCAAACACGTTGGAACAGTTTGTAGATTATTTGCATTACACGTCAGAGTGTATGTAGATTACCCTATTATATTTATAAGATAGCGGCATGAATAAAGATTACACACAATATATGTAGTTTTCTTTGCATACATGTCTATGTCGATACACACAATGTATGTAATTGTCTGGTCATACGTGTCAATATATACCTGCCATAGATGTCGGTACCTGTGCCGGTGAAAGCTGAGGATTTGGGCAGGAATGTTGACCCTGTATCATTTAGAGTGACTCTGTTTACCCGTGTCCTTACATGCCGGGTTACAGATTGTAGGTAGATGTATCTTTATCATTGTTGTTTATCAAGTATCTGTGATAGAATGTGACCGTGTATCTAGTGATGTATAGTAAGCAGTGAGTGAGTGCGTGTTATTTTCTCTCTTGTTCACATCCCATCATTGTAATGGTTCATACTAATACAATCACACAACCTTTACTTAATACAAGCCGTTTGACACGGAAACAAACAGGTCGTTATGGTTTAATGAAGGGAGGTAACTCCCGTTCCCTACACGGACCAACTGTAACTGATCTATACGTGTCCGCCACATTTAACACTTTTATCTTTCTCATCTCCTATATGTTATGCATTGTAATGGTAACTTTGTCTGAGGAATATATATCATCTGCTGTAAATGTAGCGGCTGACCAAGGTATCGATAAGGCTCTACTGCATGACAAATGACATAATTTATAGTTTAATCTTTTTCGAATCACGTTCATGCAATGTTACATTCTAAAGTTTTAAACCTGAATTAGGTTGCATCTGGATTTTATCTACTTCATCGTAAGAATTTGCGATCAGTAATCGGATATCTGGGGCGGTAGCATTGACGTGCAAACTAATTACCTTCCTGTCGAAAGCTTCAATAATGGTCGTCTGCAGATTGAGTGACGTCAGATAGGACCCCCGCATGAGTACACCACTCCATCAGTATGCCTATCGCCTCCATTTATGGAGAGTTCCAGCTCACTGGTCGTATTGTCTTACATGTGGTAATGAAAGCGGATGCAGAAATGATAAGATGTCAAGCAAGAGGATTAATGGAGTGGAGATATAACTTGATTGTCTGGTCCACAACAAATATACCTCCAACCAACCGCATTTGATAATTATTTATACTGTAACATATATAAATGACGTTAGGACACAACGTCAATCACATTATGTATACAACTAAGCATCTTAAAAATAATATTGTTTATAAGTCTGGTACCAGTATACTGGGGGAGCAGCATTACTAGGTCTCGCGTGATGGATGACCACACATGTGTCGCCCAAACAGTAAATGTATGTCTACTTGTCACATATGCAAAAGTGCTATTTTTATATAAATAAAGACGAGCAGGTCTGACTGTGCATATTGGTGTCCTAGTGTTTTATCGATATTGAAAACGCTTCTTAAAACATGACTTGCACTCTTGTATATGCCTGTTTCAGTGTAACACAACACACAACAGTTCTTTATACTACGTGAAGTCAAAAAGGACGCTCTTACATGTTGATAATAAACTCCAAATATTCAAAGTAAGACATTCCGCTCACTAACATCCCATGAAGTATGACTGCCACACTGATAATCTCTGGAGGAAAATAAACCTCCAATGTCGGACACTGAAGATCTCTGTAGAAAATATACATTACCATCCTGTATGATTGTACAAAATATACCACCACAGTAACATATACGAAATTGTACAAAATATACCACCACAGTAACATATACGAAATTGTACAAAATATACCACCACAGTAACATATACGAAATTGTACAAAATATACCACCA